CTGCCTTTTTGGCCACAGGGTAACAAGTTTTCATGTGAGATCTTCATGCCAAAGTGGGAAGTAAAAATAGCTTCGAGAGCCCTGTCGGGTGTCTTGTGCAGCTGACAGAGGTAAGGTTACATCACTTCGAAAAAGAAAGCAAGACAGTCAGTTATCCTAAAAGTACATTCTCTTTGGAAAATACAGTGCACCACACACATCCATCTAGAAATCCACGATCTGATAAACAGTTAAAATGCAAAATAGGCTTGATTCTTAGTCATTTTACTCCCTGGTTCTGAGTGAACTTCTTTTCTTAGCCTGTAGCAGTCTTGTTTGTTTTTTTCTTCACCTTTTAAAGACAAGCATGACATAGGAAAGTCCATTTTTTTCTTTTTTCTTTTTGGATTCATGGGTCAATCTAATCTTATTAATAATGGAACATGTAAATATAGTGAGAACTGTTTTTCAGGAGATGAGTGTGGGGTGGAGAGAAGGAAGGTGGTCCTACTTGTGTCCCCAAATCCTCCACACCTGCAGGTGCGGAGGGGCTCAGCCGGTGTAACAGAAAAGATGAAGGAAGGGGCGTAACGCTTACCAGTTTCCCAGCCTGGATTTTTATATCACGACTGTTCATGTCCTCAGAGTTGGTAAAGGACCACCTTTGTGTATAAAAGTGTCGCTTCAACCTTGCAGTGGTAACAAAATGACCTACTCTATCGGGTAGAATTCAAGATGGCTGTATCTTCAGTTGTATGATAAAAAGTTAACGGTTCGCCTGACTGTGTGGCATCTAAAAATAATACCTGTTTTTACAGCATCTCTCTGCCACTAAATTGTTGACTTGAATTTTGAAAAACAAGTTGGTGTTGATATGTATATGTGTGTGTGTATATATGTATTTATAGACAAGTGTGTGTGAGTGACACGTGAGTTAATATAGTCTTCCCCTACGCATGTGTATTCCACACATACATGGCTGAGTTCTAGTCACTAAACAACTTGCAATAAAAACAAAAGATTCATTGTCGGTGAAAACAGGAATTAGTTTTTTAATGAGTCTGCTATTCTGGTGAGTAAACTCTTTAAGAACGCTCGTTGCCATATTAACTTAGGCTAAGATTTAATAGTACCATAATTTGTGTCTAAATTCAGATTGAGATAGAAATCACTCAAGTTGTGGGGTGGTGCTTCTTATTTCACACTGCAATAGGAAACATCATTTCTATTCGTTTAGCTTCCTAAACTGGTTTTCTGTATCCTTTTTTATTCGTTTGTTTTTCTGTCATTGTTGTTAGTGGTCTCAAAATTCTGATCAATAACTGTGTGTGTGATGCTGAGTCACAAACTCTTTGAATGATCGAGTTGAAAACCCATCCCCATCCTTTCTTCAGCCGAGGTTTGGGGATGGCGAGTTTCCCTACGGGAAGAACAGGTAATAGGGAGAAAGAAATGTTGCTTTGGTCACGTCTCCACAGGAGGAACGAACCATTTGACTGTCTTTCGATTTTAGTTTATTCCGCTCTAAGGAGTTTGTTTCTTTCAGTCGTTGGCTTGCCGGAGTGTCGCATTAGCGATAGCTGTCCCCCCGCCCGTCTCATGGTCCATACTAGTCAGTCGGACTGTTGTGATCTGTAGCTGTTATTGGTAGAGTCATGCCCTGCACCGTTACCTTCGGAGTTAAAAAAAGAAGTGCATAGGCATTTCATCTGTTTTTTTTTCCTTAGCCCAGTCTCACCCACGCCGACACTGACATGCTGTCCGTGGACGAAGAGCGATTCCCAGAATCTTTGGGCAAGCTGCCACCGTCCCCTTGCCGTGGCCTTTCCCAGTAGGTGTGCGTATGTTTATGTTTCTGCACAGTGCTCTGTACTCTGATAAAATAGCTGTTTGACTTAGCAGGGTTGAAGTGGCTTGTAATTATTTTGTGGGCATTATTGGACACATCTTTTTTAAAAACAACCTGACCGTAACCATGCCACACTTGACTAATTTATTTTGAGCATTAAAGTTTTTCTTCTGTTAATTTAGACATTATCACAATTCTGTATCATTACTGACTTAGGAAGGATTGCACTTAAGCTTCTGTTAAATGCGATTTCTTGGCAGAGTTTCCTTTAAGTCAGATGTCTGAAACAATGAAAATATATCCCAATTTTAAGTTAACTGATTGTGGAAAGAACGTTTCTAAACAATTCCAAGTTTAAATACATAAGACACTTCAAGATCTTCAGGACTTTAAAGCACATTTAAAATTATTTTAGTAAGAATTTTGTTTTATCAATACATGTTGAATTCTGTTTTTTTTTATTAAAACAAAACAAAAAAAACCACAAAGCTTAGATTTCAGAAAGAGGGAGGGAGACTAGCTGGTGGTCCCAGAGTGTGCTGCTGTTAATTGTTTAATTAACAAAGGGGAGATGTATATAAACAGATAGAAAAGTTACCATAAATTCCATGAACTTAAATCTGTGATTCATTGCCTTAAAACTTTCTCTTAGGATTTCCATACCGCATGCCAAACCAGTAAAATGGCTTTTAAAAATGTATAGTAGACCAATGTCAGTTTGTATAAAAGTACCAAGTGAAAATATTTATTACATGCATTGGAAAAAAAAATTGTTTACCTATTGAATGTTACCTGTTTATGTAGAGCTCTTTAGATGTAATAAAAGAAAAGCCTTCAGTTAACTTGTCTGCTGTAAGATATACCGTGGGTACGCGAGGGACCGTCCCTCTAAGAGCAATGATCATGCTTGGTGCGTCCAGACCACCTTTCATCAGAGGTTTCAAAGCATGGCAGTTATGGTCTCGCAGCGTGCTTTGGGTAAGTAAGACACACGGCCACCATTCCCCCTTCTTCCTGAAATACGGCAAGCTTTGCAAGCTTTGTACAGAGACCACGGAATCTCTTCAGATTTAAATCTATTTGATAAATCGGCAGTTTGAGTGCTGAGAGAGGTGTGGCCTTTTTCTGGGTAAACAACCTAGGTGCTAGGTAGACCAACTGGAATTTCAGGAATGAACAAGAAACCTGGACTCGGGGTAGTAATAAAAAGCCTTTCCTGGGGCAGAGGTTTCAGTGAGAACATGTCCCAGGATCTTGGAGTCCTAGCCACCGACCACCCCGTAGTGAGGAGCCCGGAGTCGGTGGAGAGGAGCACTTGCTTTAAACCCATCCTGGGACCATTCGGTGACAGACACTTAAAAAGCGTTGAGGGAAAGTCCCTTGTTTATTATTCTAGCCCAGAACTTCCTTTGCCTGTCCCATCTGACCCCTAGGTGTCTGCTCTCATCCATGGTATTCCAGATTGGCTGTGGAGGACTTGCTTCCTAATGTCTGTGATGAGCCAAACAGAGATGTGAGGCCAGGACCCCTGAGCCTTGGCTGAAAGTGAAACGTAGCAGTTCTCTGTGGGGAACCGAAGAGAAGCCTTCAGGTAATGAAATTTGAGTACCAGCACATATACCACCCCCTCGCCCCACTTACTTTGGCCCCTAAGAGGGTCCTGGAAGCCGCCCTAGCAATTCTGTATATCTCTTCATGTATTTTTTTAAATGTTTATTTACATTTAAGAGGGAGAGAAATAGTGTGAGCGGGGGAGGGGCAGAGACTGACAGAATCCGAAGCAGGCTTCTGGCTCTGAGCTGTTAGACCAGAGCCACCCAGGCACCTCTCTCTTCTTGTATTCTTAAAAGAAGGCCATCAAATCATATAAGCCTCAGGGCCCGAAAAACCTGGGTGTGCCCCTGCACCATGTGAACCTGGGCTCCCCAGCCCGATGGTCACAACTCCACCTACTTGAGTGTTGGGGCCATTTACTGCCTGCCCCCAAGACTGCTCGGGAAAGGACGTTGGTTAGGGCTGAAGCCACAGCTTCGCGAGATGGTGGCAGTAAGACTGGGACTGATCTGTCCCCTGCAGTTTCCCTTGTGCCTAGCCCTTAGGTTTGTGTTTTGTGTAGCCTCCCAAAAGACACACCTCCCTCTGAATTTGGTTTTCTTTTGCTTTAGCCGCTGAGGTGCCATTAAAAAGCCACAGCCCATAGAACCCAATTTTGATATGTATAAGGATGAACATCTCTGTACTTAGAGCCCTGCCCCGACTTAACATGCTGGTGTGTGACTCCCGCCCTTGTTAGAGCCCTGCCGACACGGAACAATGGATCCACACATTTGTGGAGCACACAGGCAGCACCAGCCTGGCACCCCCTGGCTACCTAAGTCACTTAAAAATGGGCTCTGGCTATGTCCTGGCCGTGGCCTGTTGCACCCCCTTATTACTTCCCATTAGTCTTGGGGGAGGGGGGAAGGGCTTGCAGCCATGATCAGTTTGGCCCACGGGAGCCGTGACCCTCTCTGGTAACCGTAGAGCTCGAAACTCGGCCCGGAGCTCCTCTCGAGCTCTGGGGGGCCCTGATGAACACACTGTGTCACATCTGCTGTCCTGTGGTGTGGGCGGGCTGTAAGGCCAGTTCACTCTCCCTGCTGTTTAGCTGATGCCGCCCCGTTTTAACACGACAGCTTTCACTCTGTGGTTATGAATGAATATCCCAACCTATGTCACTATGTGCTGAGCTGAATATAAGAATTTGTAAGTGGCCCCGTGGAGCCACAAGAAATGTTAATCGCGGCCTTTTCCGGCTCGTTTTAGCTCTTTGATTGACGTTAGTTCTCAGCTAGCATTGGCTTGGTCTTGGAAAGGTGAGAGATGGTTCCCGCCCCGCAAAACAGAATAGTGTCTTGTGGTAGACTGTGCTGCTTGGGAGACGCACCTGCCTGGGAGCTCAGGGCCGCACTGTGCTCTCCGGTTGGCAATGGCGTTTTCAAGCCACTACTCAGACCATTCTCAGGGCGCTCTTTGAGGTAAGAAGTAGGAATCTAGGAGTCCAGCTGAGGCTTTGAGGGTGAAATGACTTACCCAGAGTCCCATAGCTTGGCAAATGGCAGAGTCAGAACTGGAACCCAGGCCCAACTCCAACCCCTGGGCTCTTACGAGGCTATAAAGGGCTGGACAAATGGTAGTTGTTCAAATCAGTACAAATCTTTTTATTAAAGACTTGCTAATGCCATGGCTGAAGTCATTCGTGTCCACCCTTTCCCCGGAGGGACAGGAACACTTTTCTTTTAGAAAACTCATCAGTCAGCACTTCCCGGGCCTGGGGGAGGCTGTCCCGCATCCTCTGCCTTCAGTAGTCCCGCACAGGGATGGTGATCTTGTTGATAAAGTCATCGTACTTCACTTTGCCATCTGGTTCGATATTTGTTTCCCTGAAAAGATCATCCACTGCAATAAATCACATTAATGTTTCAGGTTGGTCATAGTGTTACATTATAGGACATTGAGTTAATTACTGGGGGTTGAGGCTCCCCTGAGGTCTTCCCTTGTGGCCAATGGACTGTTCCTGTAGACCCAGAACGAAACCGGTGAACAGAACAGTACACCCGCCCCCCAGCCTGGTCCCTGAAGGCCATTGATTCCATTTGAGCGCATCAGGCTTTCTGCTGGGGTGAGGATAGAGGGTAAGGAGGTGTACTCAGTGAGGATGAAGTCCCTGAAGCTGCTTTGTGCTTGCTTTGTTTTGTTTTTGTTTTTTTAAAGAAAAATATCTAACCTCTGTGCCTGCATTTCCAGAAACATTTGGTGTGGATTCTACCTTCTATAGCACCCCCACCCCCACCCCCCAGGCCACCCTGTCCCTGGCTTTTGGCCCGCCTGCTTTCCCTTCCGAATTGGCATCTCCTCCCACCCCCCACAAGGGACTTGGTGACAAGTGGTGCCTGCCAACATCACCTCTCTTTTAAAACGTGTTCGTTTAGGGGCGGGGGTAGTATGAGAAAATAAGCTCAAAGTGTACAAAACTGTCATTGTTCTCTGACATTGCTAAAAACAAAAAAACATCATTTACTTTTTTCTTCTGGGTCTGGATTCCTCGGACAAAATGCTAGCTTGTCCCAGATGTTGGCAAGAAAGGCCATTTCGGCTTCCATTTCTCCACAGTAGCCTCGTGGGGCCAGCCCACCTTTGGCTCTTTGGGCCGCCCTCCTCCTTTTTGCAAAAATGGTTTCACTGCCCGATGTCAACTTCCCTGACCCAAGATGTCCCCGGCACAGAATTCTGGGCAGTTGGAAGATCTCCTGTGATTCTCTGCTCAACCATCCACCCTCCTCTAGAATAGAATTACTATGCTGTGTGCCTCAGCCGATGGGGACGCTGAGGGCATTTAGAATGACGAGGAGACTATAACTTAGCTCTTCTCATGAAGAGGCTTGTGCCCAGCAGCCGTTTGGTTCAAACCTTCCCAGCGGACAGGTCCAACCCCAGCTGGCGGCGTCCACTGCTGCGGCCTCCTCCTGTCCAGGAAAAGGGCCGCACTTCGTATCCAAGTGCTGGTGCTGCCTTCCGGGTAGAGCAGTGGGTCCCTCGGAACCCAAAAAACACCAGGGTGCTCACATCAGCCTGTCCCAGGCTTGGAATGGGGGCCTCCCTGGCACCCTTCTTCCTCCAGCTATTCGGAGGATGCTCCTTAATAAAATTGAAGATTTTCTTTCACTCACCGAGGGGAAGAGAGTCCTACTTCTAGTATCATCTTTCCTCTCTCCCACAGCGAGAGGAAGGGAACTCGGTCTTCCCGCTTGGCTGGAACACATTACCAGTGTGTTTGAAATGTCTCTTCACCCGTTAAACAAACAAGAGATGCGTGTGAGTCTGGGGGCCATGGTGTTGCTTTAGACTGAGATCGTTAACTGTGAGAATTAAGGTCCCAGCCAGCCCCCTCTGCCAACACGCAGCCTGGAACATAAAAGGCCGAGCGGTGTCCTCGGAGCCGGGGAGCGAAGAAGAGCCCGTGTTCCTCCCCCTGCTCACGTGAGCACAGCCGCCGTGAAGGAGGAGATCGTGATCGCTCCCAGCCTGAGAAAGCGGCCGAAAGCCAAACCTGCCCTAGCGCTGTTTTTAAACGCGCTGTGCCTCAGCGGCTGCAGATAAAATCTCCGTAGACTGCCTCACGGCCTGTTAGCTCTGGGGGGGGGGGGGGGGGGGGGGGGGGGGGGGTCCGAGGGACTGTCTATTGTAACGTTTCCCCAGCGAGGAAGCCGGGGAGGGTGAGAGAGGCTGAGGAACTCGTCTGAGGTCCCACAAAAGAGGGGGAGCCAGGAGCCCCAGCTAATTCCAGCCACAACCCTGCGACCCCTCTGCTGGCCTGCCGTGATTTAACCAAAGGCCAAAGGGCCGCCGGGACCGAAGACGTGTCCTCCGCCCGCCTGTGTCCCAGCCCCGCCCTGTGGGATGGCAGCTGGGGCAGGGCCGAGAGAGTGCCAGCTGACGGCCCAGCACCGGGGGCACCCCCTCGAGCGCCCGAAGGGCTTTCCCAGAAGACCCCGGCCCCTCGCCCGGCTCTGAGGCAGGGAGGCACCCTGAGCCACCGGAAGGTGGCAGAGACCGCCAGGGACGCTCCTGCTGGAGGAGCTCTCCGAGCTGGCCGGGCCGTGAGGGAGGGAGCATAGGAGCATCGCAGTTTGGAGACGCTTGTCATTAGCAACAACTTGAGAAGCCAGCGGTGGCCAAGGGGAAAGAGCCTAACGTGTCTAACAGACCCGCATTCAACACGTTGCTCCGATACCTGCCAGTCACTCGCGTCACCTGCGTAGCGGTGTGAGGGGCACCAATGTCCCCCCGGGTGTCATGAGCACTAAATGAAGGCCCATGGTGAGGCCCAAGTAGATGCCTGCTGGCTTCCCCAGGCCTTCCCTTCCCCCAGGCCGTCTTCCTCCGTCCCTCTTGGGCTCCCTAGTTCTTCCCCTGGGCTCCAGGCCGGAGTTCACCCCGCAGGCGTCAAATGCGGCGTCTGCACCGTCCTGCCGGCATGGCGTCCTTCCCCCACCTCCCTAGCCCTCCCCCGCTGTCGGGAAGGAGGGACCCAGGCCTTTACCTTCCTTGTGGGTGAGCTTCTCCCCCAGTGTCATGAGTTTTGACCGCAGCTCGGCCGCCATGATGTAGCCTTTCTTCTCCTTGTCCGTCATCAGCATGGCCAAAAGGATCTCTTTCTTTGGATCCTCCTGCTTTATCTGCGTGTGCATGACGGCCAGGAAGGTGGAGAAATCCAGCTCGCCGTTTCTGTCTAGGAAAGCCCCCAACACAGCAGGCTGAGCAGGGAGGGAAGAGCTAGCCGGCCCCCTGCCCAGTCTTTATGGCCAGTTCAAGGGCCCCCTGCTTTGGGAAGTGCCGCGATGGAGCTGGTGTTCAAGTGAGGAGGGTGCAGCCGAGCTCCCGCCACGCACCCGCCTCACTTAACCCTCCCAGCCATCCTCGGGGACATGGCTACCGTTGCCCCACTCTCCCCACCAAGGACACAGAGGCCCCAGAGCAGGGAGTCACCTCACTGCAGTGGCAGGACCCGGATGGAGCACACTTCCTCTGCTCCCTTCCAGATGCTTCCCTCCTGCCCTGAGCTGAAGGACCCCAGACGTCCGCGCTGCCAGCCACCGCAGCACACCCACAAGGACGCACAGGTCGCCCCGCCAGGAACCCCAGGCCCCAGTCCCACCCGCTCCCCTGCTTTCCCTCGCTGCAGCCTCTGGCCCAGTCTCCCCAGCCTGCACCCCTCAGCCCAGACCCTGGCCGGTTGCAAGTGCAGGAAATGAGAACTTCCCCTGACCACAAGTTCCTGTTTGGAGGAGACAGAAGCCAAAGGAAACCACCACCCCTTCAGAGCTGGAAACGGGAGCTCGGTCACCAAGCACCCCAGCTCCGGGCTCCAGATTCCAGAGGCCCGCCTTCAGGATGGGCTCCTAGCGCTGCCACAGGCATGCTCAGATGGGGCCCCAGGGTAACCCCAGCTGGCGGTGTGAACCCATCGGGAAGATGAGCCACGAGGTCCAGACACTGAGGCCTTTGGATCCCACGTCAAGTGCTCTTTCCAGTTCACCTCCTGCCTCTGGGCCAGTCTTTCCTTCCTGTGTGTCCAGTTACCAATGCAACACCCACCCTGGCCTCTGACACCTCTCTGGTTTTTCTTATTTTTGTTTTCTAAACAATAAAAAAAAATTTTAACGTTTATTTTTGAGAGAGAGTACGTGTGCACATGAGCAGGGGAGGGACAAAGACGGAGACACAGAATCCGAAGCAGGCTCCAGGCTCTGAGCTGTCAGCACAGAGCTCGACATGGGGCTCGAACTCACGAACTGTGAGATCATGACCTGAGCCGAAGTCGGGCACTTAACTGACTGAGTCACCCAGGCGCCCCTAAAAAAGAAAACTTTTAAATTATTTTTAAAATTTAATTTCATTTTAGAGAGAGCGTGTGTGAGTGGGGGAGGGGGCAGAAGGGGGGCCGAGAGAGAGACTCTTAAGCAGGCTCCATGCTCAGTGCAGAGCCTGATGGCCGGCCCAATTCCACAACCCTGGGTTCATGACCCCAGACAAAATCAAGAGTCAGATGCTCAACTGAGCTACCCAGGTGCCCCTAAAAAAACAAAAACTTGTTTCTAGTTATAAAAGTCCTATATGTTCCCATTGTCAAATGTATAAGAAACAGCAATAACGGGTATAAAAATCCTCCCTAATCCCATCTCCAGAGTGGACAATTTGGTAGCACCTTGGGTGGGTTTTCTTCTCTTTTTTTCTCTCGGAGCACTGCATCGTTTTTAGGAGGTCAGTCTTTGAAAGAAGAATCAGGTCCCAACCCTGATTCCACCATTGGCTTTTAAGAACTAGGGCGAGTTACCTAATGGCCCTGACCCTGACTTTTACCCGTAAAACAGTAGGTTGATGCCTACTCCACAGAGTTGTTCGAGCTAAGCACGTGACAAGGATTCAGTGAAGGGCAACACATGGGTCGCTGCTAGCCCTGTCTTTCCGGCAGGTGTGTGATAACCTAGTTGGAATGTCTAGATCCCGTGGTCCTCCGTGCAAGACACTGGGGGGAGGGGGACAGTCGGGGTCACCGGTCGCTATAAGGATTCAAGGCAGCCTGAGTGATAGCACCGTACACCTGGCCATCTGTCTCCACGGCTAGCTCTGGTGAGTTCTGACGCCCACCTGCCCCTCCACGGTCTGAGCTGTTCACGCCACCCCCTGCTGGGCCCCTCCCCAGGACCCCAGCTGCTGGGCTCAGGGCCCACCCACCAGCCCAGATGGTGCATTCCCCTCCCACAAGCCACTCGGGCCCAGCCCACTCACCGATCCCGTGAGTCAGCAGGTGCCGCTGTACCTCTCCAGGTGTCGGGCTGGCCCCCAGGCACCTCATCACCACCATGAGGTCGGTGGCTTTAATCTTCCCCCGCTGCTGCTTGTCATACAGGGAGAAGCATTCCTTGTACTCTGTGCAGAGCCCAGAAGGGAGAGTCAATGGCACATACTTTCTCTCCTACCCCCATGCCCTCTCTCCCTTCCCCTTCTGCTGACTCCCTCTCCTCCTCCCCTCTTAGAGTTGCCAGACACAGCAAATAAAAACACAGCACTGCCAAGTCAAACTGAACTTCAGATAAAACCGTGAAAACATTTTTAGTATAAGTATATCCCACATTTTGCATGGGATATATACTTCTACTAAAAGGTTGTTGCTTATCTGAAATCCATATGTAACTGGGTGTCCTGTATTTTATCTGGCAACCCTATCGCCCTCCCTCTCCTGACTTCCCTTCTGTCTCCCCCCTCGCTCCCACTTCCTGCCTCTCCCTCCCCTCCCTTCCTTCTCTTTTCTCCCCTACCCTAACTGAATAAAACCAGAGGAAAGCACTCCGAGCCTGCAGGGCCAGCCGCTGTGGGCACTGCTGGGTCCACTCTCCAGGCCGCCGCACCCCCGAGCTGTCCCCTGACACAGGCGCTGGTCCTGCTCTCAAAGACTTCAAGGGGTGCTGCGGGCACGGGTCCCAGGCCCTGCCTAAATCTGGCTTGCTGCTCTCCTCACCCCTTCCTCCCAGGCAGAGACGCAATGGCTGCCAGAGCTGAGGCGTCTCGAGATCCAGTCTCAAGGCTGCCCTCAGATTCGGTCTAAAGCTGCGGGCGGGGAACACGCTCGCCAGTCCCTAAGGCCCAGGGGGTGGAGCCGCTGCTTGCGCCCCCAGCCGGGCCTCTCAGCACCCAGCTCCCCCTTTCCTCACAGCACCCAGCGCCACCGGAGAGGCCGGGCCCAAGCTCCCCAGCTGCAATGCGAGCAACAAAACGGCGGCTCACACTCCTGAGCACTTCACCTGGGGCCCCTGCTTCATCCTGCAGGGACCCTGTGACGCACCCTTCCCAGCGTGTACAGGGGGCCCTGAAGGCTGCGCGGCTGAGGGTCTGACTCCTGGAGTCGAGCTCCACCCTCGAGGCCGCTCTGGACACCGGATTCCCAGGCAGAGGCCACCCCAGGGCAGAGGCGATGAAGGAGGGATGGAAGGCCCCCAGTTGGGCCCCTTCAGTTCCCCAATTAAGGCCTCTCCTTGCAGCTTAGGATTTCAGCGGAGCTGCTGATAAAAGGCAGCCTCCCGAATGGGGTTTAGACACAATTAGCTGCCTCTGTGCCTGTGGAGAGGTTGAAGGGGAAGGCCTAGCCCTTTCAGAACTTTCCAGCGGCTGGCCTTGGAGAGGGCCAGAACACTGATGTGACCAGGGGGGCAGAAAGTGTCCTCTTCTCCAAAGAGGACATCCAGATGGCCAACAGACACATGAAACGATGCTCAGCGTCCCTCCTCATCAGGGAAATACAAATCAAAACCACACTGAGATACCACCTCACGCCTGTCAGAGTGGCTAAAATGAGCAAATCAGAGGACTCTAGATGCTGGCGAGGATGTGGAGAAACGGGCACCCTCCTCCACTGTTGGTGGGAATGCAAACTGGTGCAGCCCCTCTGGAGAACAGTGTGGAGGTTCCTCAAAAAATTAGCACTAGAACTCCCCTGTGACCCAGCAATAGCACTGCTAGGAATTTACCCAAGGGTTACAGGAGTGCTGATGCACAGGGGCACATGCACCCCAGTGTTCATAGCAGCACTCTCCACAATAGCTAAAACATGGGGTGGGGAGGGGGGATGGGCATGGAGGAGGTCACTTGTGGGGATGAGCACTGGGTGTTAAGTGGAAACTAATTTGATAATAAACTATTTGTAAAAACACAAACAAAAAAAAACAATAGCCAAAACATGGAAAGAGCCTAAGTGTCCATCCACGGACGAATGGGTCAAGAAGATGTGGTTTATCTATACCATGGAATACNTTCTTGCTCTCGTGCAATGCATGGCTCCCGTCTGCCAGGCGGCCCGGATGAGCAGACAGAATTAGTGGTCTCGAGGACCAAGAGTCAACCGCCCACCAGCGGCTATTGTGACCTCGTCTGGGGGCCCCTCCTAAGTGTCTGCAGCTCATATAGCTTGTCTCATGTGGTCTTAATAGCCAAATCATGGAAAGAGCCTAAGTGTCCATCCACGGACGAATGGGTCAAGAAGATGTGGTTTATCTATACCATGGAATACTCCATGGCAATGAGAAATAATGAAATCTGGCCACGTGTAGCAACATGGATGGACCTTGAGGGTGTTATGCTGAGCGACATAAGTCAGGCAGAGAAGGACAGATACCATAGGTTTTCATTCAAATGTGGAGCAGGAGAAATCTAACGGAGGACCATGGGGGGGGAGAGGGGAAAAAAGGAGGGGGGGAGGCAAACCACAAGAAACTCTTAAATAGAACTGAGGGCTGATGGGGGTGGAGGGAGGGGAAAGTGGGTGACGGGCATGGAGGGGGGCACTTGTGGGGATGAGCACTAAGTGTTATATGGAAACCAACTTCACAATAAACTGTATTAATAAAGAAAATCTATTTTTCTCTGATGTAAAAAAAAAAAAAGGAAAGAAACTGAAATGTCCCAGGGAAGCAGCGCCAGAGCCTGGCCTAAGACCCCACCTTCGGTTCCTGCAAAGCCTAATTCCCTCCAGGAGGGCCCGGGGCCGTCACCTCATATGGGACAAAGGATTCTGTCTATTGTGTTTGCTGCCCATAGCGTAGTGCCTAGGACTGGGCTGGCACAATGCAAGGACTCATGGTGAATTCGGTGAAGGAAAGAAGTGGGGTTGAAAAATCCCCCTTAGGACTTCAAAGGCAAATGTCCTTGGGCTGCAAAGAACCCTCCCCAGGTCTTAGGATGACACAGGTGTGTGCTCGTGGATGTTTAATAACCGCTCTGATGATAGATGTATGAAGTTTATCATAACTTTCAGGCAGCATGCCACTTATAAGGAATAATAAAACAGGCAGTGTGCTTTGTAAGTTCCATTCTCGCCAACTGATGGCCACAAGTGAGTTTTGCCAACGCCTGTACCTGCTGCCAACCTACAGTTTCCGTTCAACCCTGGTTTGCCAAGGGGGGGGGGTTGCAGGCCAAGGAAGGGAACGCTTTTCCCAGTAAGTGCAGTGTCGCTAAATCTGAGAAGTGAGCTACTGTTACACTATTTCTCACCCTTGGACCAATTACGTTCATGAAACTGAACGCTCTTTCAAACCCTTAGCACTACTGATTGCAATGTGGCTGTTTGAAAACATCTGCCCCAGAGATGCAAGGACCGGAATGTGGTTTGATTGGCCCCGGCCATTACTCAATAATGGCTGATCTTAACGACCGGCTCAGAGTATTCCTAAAATTCTACCACCTGGCTCGTGCTAGTTAGAGCAAGTCTGGGTGACACCTGGCCCGGGGTCACGTGTATGACTGACATCCTCTGCCTTGCTCACAGCAGCCTGGGGAGGCAGCGTCATTATCCCTACTTCACAGATGGGAACACTGAGGCTCAGGGGTGATGGGACCCCAGGCCGCTTCCTCCCAGGCCCCTGCCCTTCCCACTCCAGCGGGCCACGTCTGTCCAGTCTCTCATTCATTAAACATTAGCGGCCACTTTCTTGGTGTCCGGTACTGGGATGCAAAGGGAAGATGATCTTCCCTTCTGGGAGCTTCACAGGTCACTGGGCCTCGGAACCAGGCGTGGGGTGGTGGAGGGGGGTCCTGAGGCTGACAGCTGGACTCCAGCCTGGAGTCAACATTCAGTGTGCCCTTCAGACTTGGGCGAAGAGAGGCCCCTGCCCTGGCTCTCCCCCTGGGGTGAGGATGTGAGCCATCTAAGACGAGCCTGCAACCCACCCACCCACTCTAGACCGAGCTCCAGGGTCCCGGAACTCTGAAATCCCTGCCCAAGGAACCGTAAGCACAAGTCCAGCACCTGCAGGCCGCTAGCTGGGCGCTGCGCCCCCCCCCGGCTCAGGTCCGGGCGAGTTCTGTGTAACGGAGCTCTCCCCTCCGGCCTTGAGGAAACACCACACGGCGCTGTGCCTGTGCCGAGCCCACACGGAGGCGGGCTGGGGGGCGGGGGGCTACAGGACTAGAGGAGTAAATTCTCCAAAACTAGGCTGGCTGTTGGCACAGGTGACCTCAGAGGCCACCTCAGCTGATCCCCATTTCACAGATGGGGAGACTGAGGCCCAGAGAGCAACCGTGCCTGCCCAAGAGGGCAGACCAAGGCTCTTTTGGCTCTCTGCTCCTTTTGTTTGACCCTCAGCCGCAGGCAGTGAATGCCAGCGCTCTCCGGCTCCTCTCCCTCCTCCCAAATCCAGCCACCAGGTCCCGGAGAAAAACCTCTAGAGCGCCAGCTCCTGTCTCCCTAACTTGTAAGTCACACTGACAAAGCAGTACCAACGCTCCCCGCCCCCAAGCCCTTACCCCCACCTCCAGGGCAGCATCCTGGCGGCAGGCAGCGCTTCTTGCCTGTGGGTGGGCCCCGCTCTCCCACCAGCCGCTTGCCTTCCCACCGACAAGGAAAAAGGAAAAAAAAAAAAAAAGCAGAGCAAATTGCCTAATGAGACCCATATTTTGCTTGAGTTGCTAATTAAAGAGCAAGGCCAACCTACCATTAATTTGGTCCTGGGAAAGAAACTTGGCCTGTAGCGGAGAGAGGAGAACAGTCAGGAAGGGGACTCCAGGAAAGCGCCTCCCGCCCCCCAGCCCGGGGAAGGGGTGGGCAGCCCGGCTGGACGACACGGGCCCCCTACTCACCATCGCGGGGCCTCAGGCTGCCGCCCCCGGGCCTCCCGCCTCCCACAGCCGCCTGCTCGGTCCCTTTCCTCCCCGCGGCTCCGAGTCGAAAGTCCGCCAAGCTGGGCGGAGGCCCCAGTAATAAAGCCGCGGCTGCCATGGAGACGAGGCCCCGCGCCCGGGTCAGATTCCAGCCTCCCCCGCAATGTTGGTGCCCCGCCGCCGTCGGCCAGGGCGGCAGGTTCCACTTGGAGAAAATGGGGCCACGGAAGGCCCCCCCCGGCCCCCCCAGGACTCGTCCTGCTGCAGGACGCCGATGCTCTGCAGCAAACGGACACATGCCCTGGTTCCTTCCTGGGGGCCCCCGGGGACACCGGGAAGGGGTCGGTGATTTGCAGAGCGGGGTCCCTGGCGGGGGAGTGGGTGTCTCTTCTCTCCCCTGGGATTAAAGCTGGAGACTCACAACTCCCACACGGTGTCTGTCGGTCACTTTGCACACGTCTTACTTCAGGCCATCACACGCCATCCCGGAGGCAGGCGGGAGGCCGGCCACAATGGTGCAGGCCACTGCCAAGGCCTCGCGATAAAGACGGTGGGGGCGACACAGGCTCTGGGCTCTTGGGTTGGATTCAAATCCTTCCCTCGGGTTCATTTGCTGAGTGACCCCAGGGCATCATCTGGCTGCTCTGGGCCTCAGTTTCTGCACCTGGCACCGTCATCGCAGGGCTGTTGAGAAAATAAATGGCCAGCGCGCAACCGGTTCCCTTCCCTCCTTCTGGGGACCCCGAGAACAGGGGTGGGGCGGTGCCTGCATTGGGGTCTCAGACCCACAGCGAGGTGGGCGGGGGGGGGGTGCGGCGCTTAGAGGGAGGTTTACTTCGGTGATTTCCAAGGCCAAGGCCAGGGAGACTGCTCATCTCTCCCCTGCTCTGCCGCCTAGAGCTCGCCCCCCTCTAGCAGAGCTGCTAACCCTCCCTGGTTTGTGCCGCACTCCCCCCACCCCCGGAAGGGGAGTGGCTCCCCAGGGCCACACACTTCCTGTCGGTGGGGCGCCAACTCCAGGGTGGCGTGGGTGGCCGCACAGGCTGTGCTCTGCTCCGGGGCCCCCAGCCCGGGGGATGAGTGGGGCCTGGTGAGGGGCTGCAAGTGCCTGGAGGAAGGGGGGTGACTTACTAATGGGTACCAGGAGGGTGGACAGGGGGCCTGCCCCATGTCCGCCCTCCCTCCTCGCTTAACTGCCTCCACCTGGAAGGTTCTCTTCCCCCAAACGCTGTCTCCAGAGTCACATTTTTCACACCTGTTTCTAGACCCAGAGGTTGCAGGAGGCGGGAGGCGGGAGCCCCTGCTCACAGCCTTGTGGGGAGAAGTTAGGTGGGGCCTTGGAGGCCCGGGGGGGGGGGCGCACAGAGCCGAGGCTGAGGCTGGCGGGGAGGCTTGCAGGGACCAGGCCCAAGCCCTCGCTCCTAATCACCCCATGTTTGGGAAGGGGCGCATCGGGGAGACCAGACCTTTTCCATCCAGGAAGCTCTATACTCAACAGGAGAAATAGGAACCCCATCCAGCACCACGCGGGGGCTGAGGTTTTGTTCACCTGAAGGGCCCCATCACCCGTTTTGGATTCAGCACGCAGAATGGGACACTTTGTATTTCCCTCTGCCATTCTCATGCTGCCAGTCAGGGCCACACTTTGAGAACTACTGGCCTACAGTTAGCTAGAGGGAGTGAAGCCAGGTTGTACTTAAGTATTTCTGTCGGGGTGATTCCGGTGGTTAAGCATCTGACTGTTGATACCAGCTCGGGTTGTGATCTCACAGTTCATGAGATCGAGCCCTGTGTCGGGCTCTGAGCTGATGGTGCAGAGACTGCCTGGGATTCTCTCTCCCTCTCTCTGCCTCCCCCCATAATAAAAACTGAAAAGGAAAAAAGTTATTTTTAGGGAAACATTTCCAGTAAACTGCCCAAAGAGATCTCTGTCAAGAGAGACCCAAAATTTCCAAGACTAATCATTTGCTGTGATTTCTTTTCCATTCTGAACATTCACTTTCATACCTAATTTTTTATTCATTTTTTGTTGTTTTAGTTTTTTTTAACATTTATTCATTTTTGAGAGAGAGAGTGCGAGTGGGGAAGGGGAAGAGAGAGAGGGAGACACGAGATCCGAAGCAGGCTCCAGGCTCTGAGCTGTCAGCACAGAGCCCAACACGGGGCTCGAACCCACTAGCGGTGAGATCATGACCTGAGCTGAAGTCTGACGCTCAACCACCCAGGCGCCCCTGTTGTTTTTTTTAAATCAAGGGCTCCCCAAGTGGTAGAAGCTTGAGGCCCCGCACGACCAGGCCTGTGCCTGCTCACAAGGCCTCCGGCAAGCCCCGCCGTGGAGAAGAGGCCAGGGACAGGGCTGGAAGGGACAGCGTCCTCGAGGCGCGGAAGGAACCAAATGTGATTGCTGGGTAAGCGGGGGTGCGGCCCACCATGGCGCAAGCCTCTCCCGCCCGGCGCCACGCTTCCAGTACTGTCTGGAGACAGTCGCCCCAGCCAGTCCCTGGTGGCTGTGTGCTGTGAGACCCCGAGGGAGTAAGTGACGTGCCCAAGGCCAGTGCCAACCTCCGACAAGCTAGCTTCCCCACCTTCCCCCAAAGAGCACCCTCTGCTTCAGCCTCTGGACCGGCCGGGAGGTTGGCTGGGAGGCAGGCCTGGAGATGCCCTACTCTGGCACCCCACCCCCCCGCAGCCCCCATTCTCCTCTGCAGACAGCCAGGACTGATTGGGAGGAGGCCCTTCTTGCCCCCCACCCCCAGGATCCCACTGAGTGACACAGAAGGCCAACGCAAAGCGGCAGCGCCTGCCCTGAGCCAGACGGGGCCGCTGGCTGGCCAGTCCCTCCCCGCTCCAGGGGACTCCCCCCTGCCCTCGCAAAGCAAGCAGCAGCCACCCGCCAGGCTTGGCGCCACACTGGCCTTTATTAATCCCTCTCTCCACCCATCCGCCCAGGGACCGGGGGACCTCTAAGGGGGCTGCAGAGGGACCCCAACCTGAAAGGCAAATCGGAGGCACAGGGCTCCCTGAGGATACAGGAGAGGAGGCAGGGCCTGGGGAGAGACTCACTCGCTCACCGAGCCCGTGCTGGCTGCGAAATGGGGCTGTGGAGCCACGTGGGCAGACCCAGCCCCAGTGCCTGGGGGAAGGTGGGGGGGGGGGCTTCCTGCTGGGGAAGAAGCCTCCCTTTTCTGGGAGCAGGGCCACCTGCAGGAGACGCAGGCTGAGAGGAGGCCTCCAGGACAGAGCCTCCAGCTCCCCGCGACCTCTCCCAAATGCCCTTCTAATGGGGCTCAGGGAATATTGCAAGTGTTTGAGAACTCAGCCTCCAGCTGCAGTTCAAATGCCCTGGTCAGGCTGACGGGAAGGGGCGCTGCAGTTCTGCTGGGGGGCAGGGAGGGCTTCTGGCAGAGGGAAATGGCTGCAGAGACCCCAGGATCAGGCTGTGGGGAGGCGAGAGGGCTGGCCTCCTGTTCTCCGGGAGTAGGGGGTGGGGGGCGCTCAACACTGTGTGAGCTGGGGTTGGGTGCGGTGTGCGGTGCGGGCGCCCTTCCTAGGGCAGCGGCGGGCAGCGACAGGGGAGAACTGCTCACAGGCCAGGGCTGCCCCCCGAGGGGCCTGCGGCCAGCCGCTGACACACTTGGGCCCGCGCTCCCGGCCGGCGCACGCGAGGCCGAGGGGACAGGTGTGCTTTCTCAACAGCACCCGGAAAGTGAACCAGCGGAACCTCTGCGAGCTGACCTTCGGGGTCAGGGCAGGTCTGAGGGGTGAGTCAGGAGGCAGGTGCCGAGCCCCGTCCCCTCCCTGCCGCTGCCCTACGCACTGGGGCTCTCCAGGACGGCGACCAGAAGACACCCCGGGAGGAGTCCGCTCGGGTGCGCAGGAAGGCGGGGCCCAGATTTCGGCCTGGACACTCTGCCTACAACTGCGTCCCGTTCTGAAAAGATCGAGGCCAGAGACACACCGGGTCCAAACAATCGAGTAGTGCAGCGACGCACTCTGCGCACACCGACGCCCGTCCGTGCGCACGCGTGCAGGCACCCCTCCCCCCACACTCAGACGCTCGCTGCGGCCCATCTCCCCCCTCCTCCCCCCCCCCAGGCAGAGCACCGGTGGCTGGTGCCAGGGACTCAGTGTCGGCTGCTGACGTGGAGGGTGTAGAAGGCCCAGGGCTCGGGGACGTAGATGACGCCAGGGTACTTCTTCCTGAGGACGGGGTCATTCCACAGCCAGGCGACCCACAGGGCCACCAGCAGGAGGGTGAGCGCAAAGGAGCAGAAGAGGAAGAGCCCGTTGCTGTCCAGGAAGAGGCGCTTACGCTTCTGGTGCAGGACAAGGGCCAGCATGGCGAAGAAGGTGAAGATGAAGAGGATGAAGATCTGGCCCTCGGTGACCAGGTACCTGAGGAGGTCGGTGGGGATGGGGGGGGAGAGTAAGGAGGGGCGAGAGGAGGCAGGCTGCAGCCCCCCCTGGATCCACATCTCAGGCTGCCCTCCCATTTGCTATTCTGAGCACAGCCCACCAGCGGCATATGTTGTTTTTTTTTTAAATGTTGAGTTTGTTACCAAGGTTTAAATAACAGATTAGCTGCAAACGTGGATTTCGGGCCTATATTCCCGCGGGACAACCAGCGATCGGAGGATAAAGCCGCTATGCCCTTTGGAAAGTGCAGCTTATGCAGTCTACACAGTCCCCGCCACTCACTGTTGCCCCGCTTGATGCCTGCTCCGTGCAGTTCTGCTACCAGCTTGGTCCCTAGAGGCGTCTGAGTTTGGGGATGCAATTGCAATCTACCGGCGTTGTCCCCACAGGCCCTGGGGGCTAGGACAGTCTCAGACCTCTCAGGGTTCTCTGTGGCTCCGGAGGCAGTACCGAGCACAGGGCCAGGGACTCAGGAACAGTTTGGGGGGGCTTCTGAGAGGCGGTGTGCTCCGCTCCCCTGCCTCAGGATAGAACCACAGTGCGGACCCACTCCACTCAAGGAATCACACAGCTCTGCGGCTCTGGGGCTACGTGGCCTTGGGGGGATTTACATGACATCCTGGGGCTCCTGTTTCCTTCCTTAGAAAGGGGGCATAAATGGCCCGTCTCCCGAGAGATAAGAGAGCTGTGCACGTCTCTGGCTGCTCCCACAGGGGCCGGCTCGGCACTAACACAGCTGTGGGTGAGGACTGAGCAGGAAGCCCTCCCTGAGTTAAGCCACTCTCCCTCTTGCTGTGGTTGCCACCCATTTTTTTAAAAGCCTGTCCTCGGGGTGCCTGGGTGGCTCAGTCGGTTGAGCGCCCGACTTCGTCTCAGGTCATGATCTCACGGTTTGTGGGTTCAAGCCCCGCGTCGGGCTCTGTGCTGTCAGCTCAGAGCCTGGAGCCTGTTTCAGATTCTGTGTCTCCCTCTCTCTCTGACCCTCCCCTGCTCGCACTGTCTCTCTCTGACTCTCAAAAATAAATAAAAAACATAAAAGCCTCTGGAGGCACCCTCTCGAAGGGGCGAGGACACACCCTGTGAGTGGCCTGCAGCTGGCCCTAGGGAAAAGCGGCTCTTTTCATTCTGACGCAAGCTTCCCATCAGGGAAGGGTCCTGTCCTTCCTACTACACCCACCCCACGGTCCTCAATCCGGATCCGGTGGAACCTGTCCTTGGGGCAGAAGCGAGAGGAGGGGGAGGAGCCTGGTTGTGGCCTGAGTTCCCTGAAATGGGACTGGGGAGCTGGAAGGCACGAAGACACCAGGCAAGGAGCTCCTGAGCGATTGGACTCCCCCCGCCCCTTATCTGTCCTTGTCCCCTTCATCGTGCTTTATAGTTTATGAAGCCCCTTTCTAGATCCTCACCATCCCCTGAGAGGGAGACAAGCAGGTATTGTCCCCATTTCACAGAGGAGGAAACTTGAGGCCCACAGGGCTCTATGGGCTTGGTGTTAGAGGCGGATTCTGTCGGGTCCACGGTGGCATGGGGTTCTGGGAGGTAGGGTGGAGGGGCGTGAGGACGGAGAGGCCACACTCGGGCCTGGCTTCCTGGTAACCGAGAGGCGACTACAAAGCACGGTCACAGTCCCCTCTAGACAGAAGAGGAAGCAGGACCCCTGGAGAGTCACAGAGCAGGGCTGTGGTGGAGAGCACATTCCCACTGCCTGGCCCACTAAGTACCCCCCCCCCCAGGTCCACTCACCAGTAGTACAGGCCGCTGGGCACCACGAGGAGCAGGGCCGCCCCTGGGGCTGAACTCTGGGCTTTGGTGGGGGTGAAGCAACCGCTGAAGTACATGAAGAGGATGAGGAAGAAGGGGACGTACCTGCGGGAGGGAGGCCGGTGCCTGTTTTAGTAAACAAGCTGGTTCTCTTGGCTGGGAGTCCGGCCTGTTCTAAACGGGCCCTGGAAACACGAGGGGCCTGGTGTGACAGGAGCCAGCCACGCCACTCAGGAGGGAGGCCACCGGGCCCCAGGCTTGCTGGCTGCCCCCCACTCCCCGCCAGACCCCTCGCCCTGGCCCTGGCCCTGGCCCCTCCTGTAAGGCCAGGGAGAACTGACGGCTGACTGGGGAAGGTGCGGACTCTCCCGCAGCTGCGCGCATCTTGGAGGTTTCCGCTGCCTTTGGGGTGAAGGCGGCCCTCCCAGGGGTTCGGGGGTTCGAGGAGCAGGACACAGACACCCCTCCGCCATCAGGTCCAGCCGGCCCTCCTCGGCTTCGTCCGGCCTCCATTCCCAAAGACCGCGTCCTGACACTGTGGGGGTCCCCCTCGGCGCCCACCCGCACCCCGGCGCGGCGAGGCGCGGCGAGGGGCGGGGAGGGTTGGTCCGCGCCGCGCCCCTCCCCCCAGGCTCCGGCAGGGCCGGGCAGGAACGGCCCCTCGCTGCCCTCTAGTGGCCGCCGCGGGCACTGCCGCGCTGGGACAGGGAGGGCCCAGAGTCCCGCGCCGCAGGCCTTTCCGGTCGCCCTGCCTCACATCCAGAGGCTCGTCCGGTGTCCCTGAGGCCCCTGGCAGAGCAGGCCGGGCCCAGGGCCCCTGGGGGGACAGCTGGGCTGTTGCTGTCATCCAGGCTGAGACAGCCCCATCACTTACCACATGGAGTGGCCCAGGTACTCGTCGTAGTAGTAGAGCAGCTCAAAGGAGTCGATCTGAGGAGAGCAGGGCACGGCAGGTGAGAGCGGCAGGGGCCTCCGGAAGGGTGCTGGGGCCCCCGCAGCCCACACTTCCCCAGGCCTCCCCCGGAAGCCCTATACTCCAAGGGGGCCTAGGTGGGAGCCAGTGAATGTGCCACTTCCTCAAGTGTCACGAGCATCCCAGCCTGGCGGGTACGGTGCCCTCACCGAGCAGAATGCTTTAGCAGGTCGGGCACAGTGATGGGTGGGGGCGATCTCTTTGGCCTCCAGGACAGCCTGTGGCCACGGGGCTTTACATGCACGGGGCTGGGGGTGGGGGACGGGGAAAGGGAGGCGGCCTCACCAGTGTCTCCGGCTTGAGATTCTTGATGATGGGGTTCTCACGGACAGACAGGTGGTGCTGGTAGCCGCTGAAGAGCAAGCGGTGGTTCACGGAGTCGCCCACCAGGTGGATGCTGGCACCCATGACAAAGGTGATGATGCTGACGTAGATCATGGAGCGCGGCAGGGTGCGGGGGGACCGCTCGATGAGCTGAAGTCAGAGGGGAGGCCTGACTCGGCCTCCACCGCAATAGGCCACACCCCTCCGGGCCCTCCCTCACCCCTCGGGTGGGATGGATAGGGCCAGCTAGCTGAAAAGTCACTTAGAAAGTGACATCAGCAGGCCAGCCCAGCCTCCGTTGTCTCATATGATCCCTGTTAGCCCAGCGTGAGCTGGGAAACTGCACCTCCTTTTCCCAGAGAGGAAACAGACTCAGAGGGACTAGCTCAGTGCCCAAGGTCACACACTAACCATGTGCTGGAGGCAACAGCTAGGCCTTCAACACAGGCATCCAGGCTCCAGGCCCTGGCCCTCTCCGGGGCCCTGGGTGTGTGCCTGGCTGGCTGGACTGGCTCAGCGGCCTGATCCTCTGATTTCGGAGCCACTGGTCCATGGCAAACACAAAGAAAATGTGAGGGATTGGGAGGGAGGGAGGATATTTTGAAACTAAATTATTTAACTTAAGAGTCTTCTGAATTCTGAGATTATACCCGTCATACTTTTGGAGGTTAGAAACATCTTTCTAGAAACAAAATGATGGGGACAGTAGACGGCAATAATTGTTTTAAGAGTCCTTACTTGGACATGCAAAGCTAGCTCTGTGCTCCCAGTGACATCTCAAGGTCAGAGATCTCCAGGCTAGAGTACAGGTCACCTCCATTGCTGCCATTCCTGCCACCTGGACCCTACCTGCCTGCCCAACTGTCCTTGACTTCACCAAAGGCAGCCACCTCAGTCGTGCCTTCTGCCTCAGTCTCCCCAAATGGATTTGGTTTCCCAAGCATGGCCCTGTCTTCAGGCCTTTTGGCCCAACCACTGCTTCCACATCACCCCCTGACACACGAGGCTGAAGCCCAAATCAAACACCCCTCCTTGGGGAGGCCTTCTCCATCCTTCCAGCACAGCCTTCATCCCCCCAGACTCAGGCAGGGTAGGCCTGCTTCCATGACTCCTAGGGCTTGGCCCCAGCTCCCTGCTAGGGGAGGAAGAAATGAGGGGGGGAAGGCAGGGCGGGGGGCCTGGGACCGTACCTTGAGCAGGAGGAAGGGCGTGATGATGTTGTAGGCCATGTGGAAGTAGTCCCCCACGCTGGGCTTGTTGAGCGGAAACCATTCGAGAGGGAACACCAGCTGGGGGAGCAAGGGGAGACTGGTGTTCACACAGGCAGAGCCCCACTGGCCCTCGGGGAGTCAGCCTCCACCTCCTCCACACACCCCTAACTCTTTCTGCGAAGAGAAACTGAGTCCCAGAGGAGGTAAATGGACTTGTTCCCGGGTACACAAGCAGATGCAAACCCAGGGCCTGACTCTGCGCCCCTCTCCCGGTGGGTACTAAATAAATGTCCCCAGGGACTGGTCTGGGAGCTGGAGGCTACTTTGGGACTTGGTGGTGCCTCAAACCTCCTGGGGACCCTGGGCTTGGTTTCCCCGCGTGCAACACGAGAGATGTGGCCCAGGGAGAACCATCTTAGGGGTCTGGCACTTTTCTGGCTGATGAAAAGATCTCTGGGCCACTAGGCCCCATGCTCTATGCACTGAGCAGATGGACTGCGGACAGACTGCTTCCAGATTAGGTCAGAAGTTTATGTTAGGAAACAAAGGAGAAAATACGTGAGTTCTACCAAGAAAAAGAAACTTCAGTTCTTTCTTCCCTCTGTTCCCTGAGACAGGAGGCAGGCTCCTCCGCCTGCCGTGCCCTGTGTCCTGCTGGTCTACCCCAGTGAGGCCTGGCCTTGTCAGGGTCCGTGAAAACCCCTGGGCGAGGTCGAAACATGGCACGACCCCCCAGATTGTCCTTCCAGCATCTGTCGATTGAGAATAAAGGCAGTGACCACAAATGTCAATCAAAAACTTAAATGTTTTATCTCTTTTAATTCAGCAGTGTCATGCTGGTTAAAACTAACCTGCACATATAAAACCCCAGGAGACAGGTCTCTCTGTTCCTCTCTTTCTCTCTCATTCAGTGTGCATCTCTAGATCTTCATTTATATCAAGATGTACATGCTGGATATATGTACCACGTCTTCTTTATCCATTTATTTCTTTAGTCATTTATTGATGGATACTTGGGCTGCTTCCATACTTTGGCTGCTGAAAATAATGCTGCCATGCACAGGGGGTGCATGTATCTCTTTGAATTGGTGTTTTCATTTTCTTTGGGTAAATACCCAGTAAGGGAATTATTGGGTCATATGGTAGTTTCTATTTTTAATTTTTTGAGGAACCTCCATACCGGTTTCCACAGTGGCTGCACCAATTTGCCTTCCCACCAACACCGCACGAGGGTTAGGTTTTCACCACCAACACATTACTCAGCCATAAAAAGAATCTTCCCATTTGCAACACGGATGGACCTAGAGGGTATTATGCTAAGTGAAATAAGCCAGAGAAAGATAAATGCCATATGGTTTCACTTATATGTGAAATCTAAAAAACAAACGAACCAACAAACACGGAAACAGAATCATAAACACAGAGAACAAACAGGTGACTGCCAGAGGGGAGGATGTTAAGGGATGAGCAAACTAGGTGGAGGGGATTAGGAGGTACAGACTTCCAGTTATGGAGTGAATAAGTCGTGGGGATGAAAAGTACAGCATAAGGAGTATAGTCAATAATACTGTAACAATGTGGTATCGTGACTACCTTCAGAGTGGTGAGCATGGCATAACATATAGAATTGTCAAATCACTATGTTGTACACCTTAAACTAACGTAAAATTGTACTTCAACTATACTTCAGTTTCTTATTCTTTTAATATTTTATTTTTTAGAGGTGAGGAGGGGCAGAGAACAAGAGGGAGACAGAGGACTCAAAGCCAGCTCTGCACTAAGAGTGAAGAGCCCAGTGTGGGCTCATGGACCGTGAGATTGTGACCGGAGCCAAAGTGAGACGCTTAACTGACTGAGCCACTCAGGCACCCCTATACTTCAGTTTCTTAAAAAAAGATCCATAGCATGGCTGAAATACTCTGTGATAGCAAAACAGCAGAATTGGGCCGACTCTTCAACTAAATAGGATGAGCTGAATACATTATAACATCTTTACTATGGCAGGTGAAGTAGTGAAGTAGCCGTTATCAGAAATGATACCTTGTGGGGCGCCTGGGTGGCTTAGTCGGTTAAGCGTCCGACTTTCGCTTGGGTCATGATCTCGCGGTTTGTGGGTTCGAGCCCCGGATCGGGCTCTGTGCTGACTGCCAGATCAGAGCCTGGAGCCTGTTTCAGTCTGTGACTCCCTCTCTCTCTGACCCTCCCCTGCTCACGCTGTCTCTCTCTCTCTCTCTCCTAGAAATAAATAAAACATTAAAAAAAAAAAAAGAAATGATACCTTGTATGTGCTGACACAGCCATGATAGATTCTAAGGTAAAGCAAGCAAGCTGTAGAACAAGGCATAAAGTAAAATCTCATTTGGGTTAGAGAGGGGGAAAAAGAGCATATATACATTTGCATGAGCAAAGAAAGGAGTAGGTGGCTGTGTCCCAAACCATCAGGGGTGGGATTGGAAAGGGAGAATCCAGCACTTCTTCATATGCCTGGGTAGTAGTCGACTTGTTACAACTACTACATACTACTTTTATAACTTGTATGAGTTTGTTTTTTGTTAGCAGAAATTTGGGACTGTCATACCTACATTTCAAAAGCTCCAGCATATATACGAGCTTTTCAAATATCTACTCTCCTAACAAGCCCACTTAGGTTGCCGGGCAGGCTGGGGAAGTGGTTTGCCCTGCGGGAGACCCTCATGGCCTGTTGTGGCCAAGTCCTAATGAGCGAGGAGAGCCATGAGCCTGTTCCTGGCCTCTTTCCCCCTCCCCCAAATCGGCCCCCGATATGTGGGGCCTTCTTTCCGGAAGGGGGATCAGAGCAGCCAGGCCAGCCATCCTTCTTACAAATGAGACCATCAAAGCCCAAAAGACAATGACTTGCCTAAGGTCACCCACAAACCTGATCAGGAACCCTGACTCAGTCTCTTTTCTTTCTCCCACACTTCAAAAACCACATGTAAGCCCTACAGTGAGTCTGCCCAAAGGAGAGACAGCCTCCACCACCAACCCGCTCCAAAAGTGCTGCCAGAATAGCTTTTCTTACTCCCATTCAGGTCTCTGATCCCATGTGTATGAGATGTTAAGACTGTCACTGACTTGCGTATCACTTCTACACCAGCACGCTCCTTCAAAGTCCCAGGTGGCTCTCAAGTATCCACGATTCCTATTCAATGGCCAGATAACGTTCTCTGCCGGATACAGAGAGTTGATTTACCCGGTCCCTATGCTGGACACTAAAGTCACGTCCAAGGTAAGCAACACTGCAGGGAACACCTTGGGGTAGAGAGGCTGTTGGCTTCTTGCGGATTGCATCTTCAGGGCAGATTCTTGGGAGGGGTCTTACTGGGTCAGGAGGGAAGAGCACATTAGGGTCCTGGATATTCACAAGACAGGAAGGGGGTGGGCCCTGGGGCCAGAGTGCCGGCACACAGATGCGGGCTCTTCTACCTGCTTCGCGGGTGGCCCTGAGCCAGTTGCTTGCTCTTTCTACCCTCAAGTCTTCCCATCTATGAAATCGAGATTAATGAGTGTTGAGGTGAGGATCAAATGAGTTTAAACACTTCGTGGGTTTAGAACAGAGTAAGCACTCAGTGTATGTTAACCACTATTTCTACCTTAATGTTATTATTATTATTAATTCAATAAAAGTGCAGATGCTAGGCACTATTCTAGGTGCCTAGTTATCATCTTGACAAACTGCTTTCCTAAAGGCCTTTGCTCTGGGGCACCTGGCTGGCTCAGGAAGGAGCATGTGACTCTTGATCGCCCGGTCATGGGTTCGAAGCCCATCATGGATGTAGAGAGGACTGAAAACATAAATAAATAAAACTCAAAAGGGCTTTGCTGATCTGCATTATCACTGGCATATGCAAGGTGTCAGTTTCAGCAACGGATATTGTTATTCTTACCACCTATAGGCAAAAACTAACAACTTGATGCAAGGTGGCACATCACCCAATTTTTCATTCTGTTATCTGTCTGTCTGTTTGCTTATTACAAGCCAGAAGTTTCGGCACATGTCCAGTATTCATCTCTGTAGAGGCCACCATCGCACACGATGCACGAGGTAGCCCTGGAGGGAAAGGGATGGTTTGACAAGATAGCACTGAACATTACACCCGAGGCTCAGAGCCCTGCAAAATCAGCCTATACTCTTTATCTACAGAAAAATAATATGCCAAGGCTGTGGAGACGCTCTTTCTTTCCTGTACCCAGTTGTATGGCTTGGTGATTTGGTTAAGCCCGGGTATGGGATGGCGGGGTGGCGGAGGGGCAGGGTATCACTGTTTAGGGCCACCACTTCCCGTGTGAGAGTCAGGGCACAACACGACTTTTCAGGCCCCAGAACCCCACTCGCTGGCACAGTCATGAGCTAAAGGACATGAAAGCGTCCAGCCCTATTCCTGCGGTTGACTGATAGGGGCAGTAACTGGTCCAAGGTCACTCACTCGGCTATGTCATGCCACCCTTTGTCCTCACTGCTGGTAGGGGCTCTGTCCACAGCTTCACACTCACCATGGCAATGGGGCGGCCAAAGTCCAGAACCCAGTTCTGTAGTGTGAAGTAGAACCAGAGGTCGAGGTGGAAGGGGGCTGTGCTGGCAGCTTCATCAGCCTTGACGGAGCTGTGCCTGACGGAAGGAAGAAGACAGGAGGGGGTCAGCTCTTCTCTCCACCCATGGGAATCTTCCCCCTGAGATGAGCCACAGAGAGGTCTGGGGATTTGAGGGCAGGAGGGTTAATTTCTAGGAAAAGAGTCTTACTGGAAACATTGACTCTCAGGCCAAGGGGGATGTGTCCTGGGAATGGATTCCGCTTTCTTGGAAGCTTAGCTTCTCTGTGATTCAGGAAGGAAACTGCTAAACAGGTATTCTAACCATTGGGTATTCTCACCTATAGAATGATGGGGAAATCTAATGGGACAAAGGATGCAAATGTAGGAAAATATGAATCATGATGATGGATGGCAATAGCGAACCTTTATTGAACACTTACTATATTCCAGGCATTTCATAGCTGTTTGCATGCATCATCTCATTTAATGCTTTTCCTCTTCATGGAACCCATTGAGGTTGGAACATTACCCCCATTTTGCAAGTGGAAAAAACTGAGGTCTAAGATGTTAAGTAACTTGCCCAAAGTTACACAGCCAAATATTTGAGCCTAAATGATTAGGCCCCAGAGCTTGTATTTTTAATCTCTCTGCTATCATCATGTGTGCAGTGATTGGGCCACCAGATGGGCATGTGACCTGAGCTGGACCAATCACAGCCTTCTAGGGAGATCAGCCTCTTAGACCATAGATTCAGATCAACAGACTCTTTCCCTCCTTCTTGAACCAGGAGGAGGTAAGAATAGGGCTCCTGGTGTCCCTCTTCTCACTAATCCACAGTGAAAGCACCCATCAGGGACAAGCTGATGCAAGAGACATGGCAAGAAGTAGAATATCATCTGACAATGTATCTTTCGATGCCTGTCCCTCCTGTAAAGTCATTAGCCAACTGTTTTTCACAGATGAGCTGAAGTTCAAGGGCCAGTGCATATGCCACTTCTTCCAGGAAGGCTTCCTTAATGAAGTTTCTTCCCAAAGACCCACCAGCTCTACTACAGGGAGTGCCTCCTCACTGTCTAGCCATGACCTCACGGGCCTGGAGTTTTGCTCTTCTCTAGACCCCCAAGGTGGGTGACTTTTAAGGTTCACTTCAACTCACCCACTACTGCCATCAGAGTCCAAATCCTCCCTGACACTACTTGCACACCTCTGGTGACAAACAGCCTGCTACTTCTTAAGATGAGTGAGGTGTGAGTTTTACTTCTCTATTTGTGCCAAGAACAGGAGCTGGGTGAATGGCCCAATGTTACCCAGTGTTCTCGGCTCAGTTCCTGGCTGATGCTTAGTGACTCCTGGTTGATTTTAAATAATCTTGATTACCAGTGACTCATTGTTTTTACTGGCAGACATTAGCTTAGAGATGTCCTGAGGGTTTTCCTCTTCCCAGTGCTACTATGGCTTCCATAACTTTCTGGGATCCTTTTCAGGCAATTCTAAGAATGGTCCACAGTGGGCTGGTAGAGTAACCCGGAGGCAGAGGGACAGCCTCCTGGGAGATCTCATCAACCTCTAGTGGCAGGCAAGACTGGTGCGGTGGGCCTTTCTTGGGTCAACTAAGCCTTCCCGTCTCTTCTACTGAGACCCACTGAGACTATTCTGAGTGCCCCACCATTTCCTGAGTGCTGAGCTGGGTTGTGTTAGGAGCTTCACCTGCACCACCTCACTGAATCCTCACAGCAGCACCAGGAGGTCATTCCCCTCTTGTGTTATAGGTGAGGATACTGAGGCCTACAGGGCTTAAGCGCTTGGCCACGATCACCCGTGTTGTATGGGGCTACAGCAACTATTCCTTTTGTCAGCCTATTTCCCACTCCATGCTTCTTCTAATAGGAGATGGGGTTTCCTTGGTCACAGGGAGGGCCAATGACTGAAGGCACCCTGGTGGGACATTTCTAATTAGAGCTGGTGGAAACAGTCCCTTCCCTTCTGGCACCGGGATGCTAAGGATGCAAGTCCAGGGCTGCGTGTGGCTAAGGGGCCAGCCTTAAAGGACAGCCAGGTGGGAATGAAGCAGAGAGGCACAGGGGAAAGAGGAGGGGAAAGGCCCTGAGAGTTCTAGGCAACCTGAAGCTAAAGGTTTGGCCCCATGAGCCAATATATTCCTTATTGCTAAGGGTGCTGCCGTTCATTCGGACTTTATGTCACTCGTAACCCAGGAGTCTTGAACAGTATAAATTCAAATCTGTGTCTATATGAATTCAAGATCTGTGCTCTAAATAGTTTGCTATTCTGTTTCTATTATAATAAACTATGTGACATATGAGGAGGTCAAGACAGAGAGGGCTCAGTAAGGCCTGGAACAGTGTGCCAAGCCTGCATGAAGGAAGAGAGCCAGGAAGCATGGACGGGTGGATTTAAGTAGGCAGAAAAGCAGCAGGAGAGTGGGATCAAAGGCCTGGAGGTGGAAGTGAGAAAGGGATTGTAGGGAGTTGACTGCTTGGCTTATTGGTGAAGAGGAAGAGAAGGGAGGGACTGGTGGTGTTTTAGACTGGGCAGCTATTCAGAAACTATCTGAGATGGGGGCGCCTGGGTGGCTTAGTCGGTTAAGCGTCCGACTTTCACTTAGGTCATGATCTCGCGGTTCGTGGGTTCGAGCCCCGCGTCGGGCTCTGTGCTGACTGCCAGCTCAGAGCCTGGAGCCTGTTTCAGTCTGTGACTCCCTCTCTCTCTGACCCTCCCCTGCTCACGCTGTCTCTCTCTCTGTCTCTCTCCTAGAAATAAATAAAACATTAAAAAAAAAAAAAAAAGAAACTATCTGAGATGGGTCTGAGATGAGGGACTGGCTTAGAGGTCCCACCTGCCCTTCCCCTTAGTGACTATCAGTCAAGGCCTCAAAAAGCAGATGGTGAGAAACTCCAGGCCTGAAGAACTTGATGGAAGAAAGAGGATAACAGCCTTCGGTGTTTTATTCTGGAAACTTCCAGACTGTGCGAAGAGTAGGATGTTTGGTACAGAGAAGAAAGGTATTTGGAAAGCCCAGGGAAGCACTTAAGTATGGGTCTTTATAAGTTGCGGATACCTAGCACATACTAGGGGCTCAGTAATTATTTCCTCCTCTACCCAAGGGGGTACCTCAGTTAACGGAAATCCCTATCATTAGTCCAGCCTGGCTTAGTGGGGCAGGAAAAACAAAGGGCAGATATAGGGCACTCAACTTGGGAATCAAGATTGGTCAGCATCTGATGGTTTTCTTCCGTTGGGACTCTGCCCACAGGAGGCAGATCACGGAGAGTGAAAGCATCCTCTCCCCCAGTCCTTGTCCTGGGGATGAGCAACCCCAAGCCTGTCCCAAGTTCCTGACTCCACGGACTTCACAAACTGAGCCCCTGGCCTGTGCCAACTCTACATCTCAGTCATCAGAAGCTGCTGCTGAGAACACTGGTAAAAGCACAATGGCAAGTAACCCAAGACAAGGATGGCTTTTTCTCTCCTCCACAGCTTTACAAGTCTACCATATGGGGGAATTGATACCATGACAGTTGGGAAACACATAATATACAGTTGAAATATTCAGAGCAGTCACCATCTGCAGGACTGCCTGGCAGAAAAGGAAGGACTCAGCCATGGAGGAAACAAGCACGAACCCATACATGGGAACTATATAGAGGGATTGATTTACCATAAAGAATGGTAAAACACCCGACATGATAGAAAGTTCGAATAAAAAATGAAAAAATGAAAAAATGAAGGCAAGTAATAAGAGGGGGGAAAAAGGAAGGCAATTAGAAACTCCAGGAAAAACAAAAGCAATATAAGAAAGCATATGGTACTGGTAAACATTCCTTGGCTTTGTAGGGAATAATGATCACATGGCTAAACTAATAAAAACACTGTATACTGATTTTTCAGAGCTTAGAAGCCATTCACACACAAGACGTGAAGACAATAATAGCTGAAAAACAGCAGGTAAATACCATTAACCTTGAGAACATGAAAGTAAAACTACAGAGGAAAGGAGTTAGGGAAAGGGTAAGAAAAACTAAACATTAGGGTAGAGGACTAATATTCTCCTTTGAAAAAGGAAGCAAGAGATACTGCCTACAGTTGCCCAAAAAAGAAATAACGGTGTATGCATGTTCCCTAAGGCTACAAAGGTAACAAAGAGAAAAACTAAGAGTAGTTTAAAAACTAAGAAAAGATGAAAAGAACCATCTTGCGAATATGGGAAAGTGTAAGTGAGCCAAATCATAACAGGAAGTCGGGAAACATTATCTTAGAAGCTACAATTTATAAACCAAGAAGTAGCAGTTTTAAGAATATAGACTTTAGAGGGGTGCCTGGGTGGCTCAGTTGGTTAAGCATTCGACTTTGGCTCAAATCACGATCTCGCTGTTTGTAAGTTCGAGCCCTGCATCGGGCTCTGTGCTGACAGTGAGGACCCTCGAGCCTGCTTCGGATTCTGTGTTTCTCTCTCTCTCTCTGTCCCTCCCTCACTCATGCTCTCTCTCAAAAAGAAATAAAACATTAAAAAAAAAAAAAGAATATAGACTTTGGAGAACACCTGGGTTCATATCCCAGCTTTGCCATTAAATAGATTTTGAGCAAGTTACTCAACCTCTCTTAGGCTTCAATGTTCTCATCTATAAAACGAGTGATAATAGTAGATCCTATCTTGAGAGTTGCGGTTGAATTCTTACATGCAAAACTTTAGAGCAGGACCTGGTCTGTGGAAAGTGTTACACAGTATTTGTTAATATCATTTAAAAATATGAATTTAGGGGCCCCTGGGTGGCTCAGTCAGTTAAGTGTCCTATTTCAGCTCAGGTCATGATCTCACGGTCAGTGAGTTCGAGCCCCGCGTTGGGCTCTGTGCTGACAGCTCAGAGCCTGGAGCCTGCCTCGGATTCTGTGTCTCCCTCTCTCTCTGCTCCTCCCCTGCTCACTCTCTGTCTCTCAAAAATGAATAAATGTTAAAAAAAACTTTTCTTTAATAAATAAAATAAAAAATATGAATTTAATTCTAGTAGAAAGAGCTAAAAGAAGTTTGTCTCTGGTTGAAGGGAAGGTGGGACAGAGAAC